GCCCTACAAAGGACGTGAACTCATCCTTTTTATGGCTGCATAGTATTCCATGGTGTAAATGTGCCACATTTTCTTTATCTAGCCTATCATTGATGGGCATTTGGGTTGGTTCCAGGTCTTTGCTATTGTTAGCAGCGCCATAGCTTTCACCTCCCAGCCTGCAACACTTTGTTATGGAAGCCCTAGGAAAGGAATATGGACCCAGGAAGCAGCAAATGCAGCACTGCTTAAAGAGGAGGAAGCCACAGAGAAATGGGTGGTAAGAATCAGGTCACAGGGGAGGGAGGAGCACGGAGGGACACAGGACAGAGTAAGGAGCACCCTTAAGAAGGACAGTGGCTGAACATCCCCAGGAAACACTGCACCCCTGCCCTACTCAAGCAGGCACCATTTCAGACTTCACTTCCTCTGGGTGGTGGTTACAGAAGGCTGGGCCTGGAGCCACACAGCCTTCTCAGGCTGTCTCTGAGCTCGCTCTGTCCTTGGGTAGGTTGTTTGGCCCCAGAGTCTCAAGACTGGTAAAGATTTAAGTGATGATTGTCCTGTGTTTGTCAAATGAAATATTATCAAAATGTAAGTAATTGTGGTGGTGATTCAATCATCCTGTGACTCCAAACCTCTGGTAGCCGGCTGCTGATCCACAGAGAAAGCACTCAGCTCCCCGATTTCCTGCTCTTAGGCCCGATCTTTGGCCTTCCTTGGTAGCACTTGTGGTTGTTTGGAATTTCTGGAAGTCCAGGGGCAGAGCATGGCCATGCAGGCCAAGGGAAAGGGTTCTAGCCCAAGGCAGTGCTCACCTGTGAGTCCCAGCAGTAAAGTCAGCAGCAGGAGAGGACCAGGAGGGTGGGGCCAGGAGGCTGGGTTAGGCATCCTGGAGACCTCAGGAGCCTGCTCTGTTCAAACGTCTGTGCTGGGGAGATGCCAGGCTCTGCTCTGAAGAGAGAAGACAAGCCCTTCCTTCTTCATTCAAGAGGAAGTGGCTATGATGGTGGGGGATATCACAATCTTGCTTCTAGATTGTGACATACAAATCAGGCATGGCAGGCAGCTACAAAACACGGTTACTCATGCTCCATTTGCAGGAGAATCAGACAGGCTTATCTGAAATAATGCTTCCTCTTCAACTGAGGCCTGAGTTATCTCCACATGGTGCCCCTCCCTATTTCAGATATTCTTGGTGATTTGCCAGTTGGGGGTCTTGTGCCAAGAAGATCTGTGGTTGTGAGCTGTGCCCTACATGCTCCATCTCAAGACACTAGGATGTGGTTGGCTTGTGGCTTTGTTCTGTGCCAGTCTCAACCAAGTGCTACTCAGCAGGGGGCAGGAGGAGGGAACACAGGACGCTCTTGATGTTGAAGAGGAAACAAGTCTGCTCCTGAAATGATTCCTTATTCTAACCTTTTATTGATATGACTAGTGAAACGTAACCCAAATTCAGCCTAATCTGGACTTTGACACTTTCACTTGCCTGCATCCGGCAGAGGGAATCATTTCCCGAATTCTTCCAGGAGAGAGAGTAGTTTTAGTTTAGTGAGCATGCATTTCGTGGGGTGAATGGAGTGAAGTGAGGAATGTGGTTTTTAAAAACAGGATAGGTTTATGATTTGGGAGAATATGGCAGACAGGTTTCTGAGGCCATCACATCAACTTTAATACTCTTTGTTCTGCACGGAGGACCTACTTCATTCACTGTGTTCAGATGGGAAATGGGGGGAGAGTAAGTATAAATGCGCTGACTAAGAGGATGTGCTAAGGAGTTGGGGAAGTCAGTGGGGCCACCTATGCTCAGTTTTGTTCTCTAAACTGGGGGTTATAATTGTGTCATTGCACTGTTATCATGGAGATTAAAGACAATAATGACTGGACCATGCCTGAAGCCCAGTGGGTCATTACTGAAACTCATGGTGCCAGCTGAAGATGGGAAACTCAAATGATGCTTTTGAATGGATCCCTACTGCATGGCGTGGCTTTCTTCCAGGAACCCAGGTCTCCTGAGACCCAGATTATACAGTGTATCAATTGCTTTCACTTGGATTCTCTGCATCCTGCTCCGTATAATCCACAGATTAATTTGTTCTTTCACAATTTCCAGCTGTGTGACTTTCAAGAAGACACTTGACTTCTCTGAGTTTTACATTGATTTTGATTGCGTGTGAATAGAGGTTATAACATGCACCAACATACACCTTGTAGAGATGTGGTAGAAACAATGTAAACCATAATGAATGCTTGACTCATAATTTTAACCAAAAAATGTGGCTACAGTTTGTTTTTTTATGGGAAGAGTTCACTGCTTTCCTGCCACAGTCAGCCACCTTGTTAGGAGAAATGGTTTCTCTTGCGTCATCTATGATTAAGAAAGACCTGTCTGGAAGTCTCTCTGTCACATGCTGGGTTTTAGATGCTTCATCTGATATCACTAATTGTCAAATGTGTCAAATGAAATTGTAAAGGTTATTATATTTTCATTCAAAGTTCTGTTCAATGTGGCAAATGTGCACAGGCTGAAATCTTCCACTCCTACTTCATACCCACAAAAATGAAAATGAAAAAGTATAAAATTGTATTAATCCATGTCAAATTACACTTAAAAACAAGACAATAGTGTCTATGTGACATGAAGGAATAGTAGCACCTATCATTTATTGGAGATGTCCTGTGCCCCAGATATCAGTTATGTCAGTTATCTCATTAACTCATCAGTGCTAGGTAAGAACTGCCACTAACCTACCTCCTTCTACAGGTGAGAAAACCTGAGTCTCACGGAGAGTTATGGATTTGCTCAAGATCACTTAGCTTTTAGAGCTAGAACAGAGGTTGCCACACTCCACAGACTTTACTTTCAATGTTTGCAGTATAAAATCTCTCACAGGAAAAAAGAGACATCTCTTAGGAAGAAGCAGAAAATAAGCTATGGCCTCAATTAGGAACAGACCCCACAGTGAGGCTGTGGCAGGTACCATGCTCCATGAGGTCCTGACAACAATTGATCACGAGGGGTGGGGCATTACTCCTGGCAAGACGGCAGTGCAAACAGGAATAGCTAAAGATTTGGGAAACAGCAGATCCATGAGAGATACCTAACAAATCCAAGAACAACAATATGTCAAAAAACAGCAATCAAAAAAACTTCACAACTGAGGACATATGACAAAATAAAATACAAAAAGATCTTTAAAATTAGTGTATGTAGTAACTATAAAGATAGCAAAAGGGAAGTAAATCCCTAAAAATACATCAGGGATGTATGAAGCAGAAATAGGCAGGCATGAAGTACAGGTATATTGGAAAATAACAAAAAAGATACTTTGCAAATGAAAACATAATTAGAGAGGACAGCATTAAAAAATGTAATAGGTTGACTAGGTGACTATATACACATAAGTAGTAAGTTAGTGAGTTGGGGGATCATGTGGGGCAATCACTTAGGATCCAGCACAGAGACACACCCAACAGAGTAATGTAAATAGGTATAAATATAGGAATAACATAGGATATCTCACAAAACATGTCAAAAAAAAAAGTTGCCAGAAACAGGTGAGGAGCTGCAGGCATGCAGAGAAGTGGCAGTGCCCAGGGCTGGCTCTGCTGACACAGTGACGATGACACTGCAGATATTTCACTGATTTAGAATGGGAGACAACTAATAGACCAACGTAATCCAAAGTCAGACATCCAGTGGCACCACTTTTCCTTTAATTCTTTGGAGTCAGTGCAATCGCCATCTATCTTCTCTGTGAACTGCCCAGCAGTAGCTTTCTTGCCTGTGTGTTGACAATGACCTCATTGTCAGGTGATTTTTGGGCAGTGAAGAATGTCACTGGTAGAGAAATTATTGGACTATGTTGGTGGAATCACACTGCTGAAGATAGAAAGGGCCTTTAGGAATTTGAGTCCAGGGAGGCACGCTGTCAAGAGGGTAAAACTGTCTTACAGGCTGAATAAAGAGTGTTCTGATTGGGACTTGTTGCCTGTCAAGTGCTTTGAGTGATATTTGCCTTTAGTGCCTGGTTTGATTGGGCTCTGCAGCCGCACACAAATCTCATCTCGAATTATAATCCCCATTTGTCAAGGGAGGGACCTGGTGGGAGGTGATTGGATCACGGGAGTGGTTCCCCCATGTTCTCATGATAGTGAGTGAGTTATCACAAAATCTGATGGTGTAAAAGTGTTTGACAGTTCATCCTTGCTCTTTCTCTCTCCTGCCGCCATGTGAAATGTTCCCTCCTTCCCCTTCCTCTTCCACCATGATTGTAAGTTTCCTCAGGGCTCCCCAGTCATGCAGAACTGTGAATCAATTATGCCTCTTTTCTTTATAAATTACCCAGTCTCAGGTAGTTTTTTTTGTTGTTTTGTTTTGAGATGGCTCTGTCACCCAGGCTGGAGTTCAATGGCACAATCTTGGCCCACTGCAACCTCTCTGCCTTCCAGGTTCAAGCAATTCTCCCACCTCAGCCTCCTGAGTAGCTGGGATTATAGGCACCCACCTTCATGCCTGGGTAATTTTCATATTTTAGTAGAGATGGGATTTCCCCATGTTGGCCAGGCTGGTCTTGAACTCCTGATCTTAGATGCTCTGCCCACCTCACTCTCCCAAAGTGCTGGGATTACAAGACTGAGCTACTGCACCCAGCCTCAGGTAGTTCTTTACAGTAGTGTGAGAACAGACTAATAAAGCTCTTTATAGTAGTGTGAGAACAGACTAATACAGAACAGACTAATGGCATCCAGTGTTCAACCACTTTACTCTGAAGGAAAGTGATTGAATGTCAACCACTTTATTCTGAAGGAGAAGTTCAACCACTTCCCCTTCAGAGTAAAGTTGTTGAACACTGGATGTGATGAGACTTCCCAAATAGAGGGAGGAAGTTTATATGTTTTATTATGTTGGGGGAAAACCTAAGAGATTCCCGATTCTGAAACTTTTAGATCTCAGTTTATATTGCAACAGAAAGCATTGGCTTTTTTTTCCCACTTAATTTTATTTAAAACAAAGAAAATACTTTTCATATTGTTTTTATTTTCTTTCCAGCACTTGGGGCTCAAAACTGTGTTGTCACTATAAACGTCAACATTTGGTTAATGGTAGACAGAGGTATGCACATGGTCATGTAATATCAATATATCCCAAATTAACCAAAGTGTGTTTATTGATATATGTAATGAAGGCCTTTGCAATTTGATCCATAGAGCATAGGATGTTCTTAGTCCATTTCAAAGCTCTAGGTGTTTACAGATTATTTCTTTAGATTATTTTCAGAAGCAAGTTTTGTTTCCATGGTATGAGTGAGCACTTTGGCTTATGGGTAAGTTAGAAATAATTGTTATTTTTTAATACGTACTTCATGGTAAAATTTCTTAGAAATACACAAACAAGTAAAAACCAAGTTTAGGCCATTGGTACTATCTAGTTTCTAAAATTTTGTTTATTTTCATTTGTAAGAAGTCATTTACTTAAGGCCCAATTAACATAAATGAAATCATCATAGTTTATGTTTCAGGAATACCAAGAGATTGGTGCTGTTGTATTTATTGTGTAAAAGGCTAACCAGATTTTTCTTTGGAACCTCCTGGAGCTCTTCAATGCTCTTTGACCTAATGATATCTATGTTTTATGACTAAAAATGAATTATTCTTATGTTTTAATGAGAATAATCATTTACATACTTCACATAATGAGTAAAGACACTTTGTTTTATAAACCTATATTCTTTCTTACTATAATGAGAATGTTACATATCACGCATTTGTATGAACGATATTTCTTAAAGCAATAGATGTTATTATAAACTAAATAAATGTACAAACTATTGTAGGCATCTGTAAATTGTGTTGTAGGTATAAACTTGGTGGAGTCTCTTAATCAGCAGATTATGTTGTGAATACATATGTACATTGTTAAAATATATTTAAGATGTTTTGCTGATTTTAATAAGCTTCTTTATTGAATGATAAATTTGAAGGTGCAAAATGTTATGTTTACCTACATATTTATATAAAAGTGTATTGTGTACAAAGCAAAAAAAGAAATATTAATAGCTGAAGAAATATAATTCAAAGTAAAACATACCAGCAGTTGAAAGAGGAATATTTCTTCTCATGAAAATAGCAATTGGCTTGGAAGGTGTGAGCCATAACATTTCATGCCTCCAAAACATCACAGTTTGGAATACAGGACTCAGAAACGATGCAATCGTATCAGGAAGATCGCAGATCTGTGCTTGGAGCAGCAAGGTACCTTCCCAAGGAAGAAACTGTCAAGGCGTTCTCAAGGAACTCCAGTCTTTCAATGAAGATCTGCTAAAACATAGATGCTTTTTGAGTAAAAATTGTTTGTGGCAATCACGAGCAGAATTCACTTTCAACTTTAGATTGACTTGGTGCAGCATGGATAAAATCTGAGGGCCTCAGAATGCTTCTACTCATAGCAGACAGTGAGGTGGAGTTGGCATAACATGGGAGACAGGAAAGAGGAGAAAGAGAGAAGAGGGAGCTCCTAGGCTCTTTTAAACAATCAGAACTTGTAGGTACTAATAGACCAAGATAGCACAAAGTCATTCATGATGACTCCACCCCGTGACCCCACCTCCAACATAGGGGATGAAATTTGACATTGAGATTTGTAGGGGGAAAATATCCAAACTATATCATAGGCTTAAACAAAGATGAAGGAACTTTTTTTTCTTTTTTTTGATGGAGTCTTACTCTGTCACCCAGGGTGGAGTG